GATCATGACCTGAGCCGAAGGCAGTCGCTTAACCAACTGAGCCACCCAGGCGCCCTAAAAATAACTTTTAAAAAGGGTACTTAGAAGAACAGAGTGAGGCACTAGTTAGAACAGCAAAATTAATAAGCACTAGAATAGACCTAGGTAATTGCTTTTCAAAGTATCTGTGGTGAAGGACCAGAATTTTCATTTCCAATTCATTATAGATGGGGCCTGCACGGTAAGTACATTTATCACATGCTTGGGTCAGATTCTTTGAAAATGTCTAATTACTATAAAGGTTTCTAAATGGCTTCTCTCCGTTTTTATATGTATTGTAGACAGGTATCAGTTTCCTGACCAACGCCAGTCTCATGACATGTTGAGTAGTGTTGATCCTAAAATGTTTCTTCATTTTGTAGCCGAGGTTATTAAATCGCAGGAAAGTGAAATGATTTCTCAATATTATACTAAATATTAGGTTAAAAACTTCTTTTTTTAGTTTTAGCAGAAAATGACACAAAAACAAAATTTGGCCTTTGTCTGAAAATGATGTTCATTGTCAGTATATAAAAGTCAGAAAAATATGCCTTGGGAGCTATAGGGGATATTCACTTTCTGCATTATGGATTTCTGAAATAATCTTTTGTATGATCTTATATTTTTGAAAAAATCAATAAAGATATCAAGTAAAATAATATTAAAAAAGTATTTCTTTTATATAATTAGAGTAATGAGTTTATATGGGAAAAGTGTCAAAAGATCAGGCTGAAAAGATTGTCGGGGATAGGATTGGAAAATGATATGTAAGCCATAAAAGGAGTTTGCTTCTCCTTCTCCTGAATAAAAAGCAAATGCCTTTTTTTTTGGGAGACAGTGGGGAGCAACTGAAGGATTTTCTATAATGAATACAGAGCAGGTTAGTTTTTAGCAAAGAAAATATTAGTGTATTTTCTCTCTATATTTTAAAGTAAGATTAATAGAGATCTACTTCAGTTTTATAAAATGCTTTAGTTCTGAACACTGCAGTCAGATGCCTCTCAACTATAAGTAATAGCTTCACATGTAGGAGAACACAGAAATACGAGGCAGTAATTGAGATTAGTATTTATTATGTTTTGAAACACCCCTGTCACTAAGTATTTGGTAAAAATGCATAATATATATAATATATATGAGGCAGTAATTGAGATTAGTATTTATTATGTTTTGAAACACCCCTGTCACTAAGTGTTTGGTAAAAATGCACTATGTATATAATTTATATATATAATAATATGCTGTTGAGCATAATATACTTAGCTCTGCTATTTGTTATTTTTTCAACCTTGGGCAAATTATTTTACTTCTTTGGGTCTTGGTTTTCTCATCTATAAAATGGGGATACATAATATAGTATTATCATGAAGTTAAATGAGTGTGTATGTGTGTGTGTGTGTGTGTGTGTGAGAGTGAATAGACATACTGTAACGTAGGATAGTACCTGGTAAATAATGAGCATTAAGTAAGGACTTTTGTTGTTGTTATGATTAGTAGTAGAAGACATTTTATTAAATATTTTACAAAAATGTAAGTATAATGTGAGTATAAAATACCAAAAATGTACCATTTGTTATCTGAAAATTGCCACCTACTGGATTTCAAAATTTTGTTTCTGAGTGTACAGAGATTATAAAATTGTGAATTTAAATTTACTTAATGTTTTCTCTTTTATAGTTTATCAGAGAAGATATGAAATATAAAGATGCTACTAATAAACACAGTCATCTGCACAGAGAAGATAAGCATATAACTGTTGAGGATTTATGGAAACGGTGGAAAACATCAGAAGGTAAGACTATTTCAGTGAACTGAATCCTTCACCTGCTCTTCTGCCCTGCTTAACCATTGTTAACTCACTAATTGCAAATGATTTTATGACAAAAATCAAAATAACATTTTCTGTGAGGATATTTATATTTTCGTAAATAATTTTTCCACTTTTGATTTTGAAAAATGATTTTTATCTTACAATTCATTAAGGGTCAGCCTGTTTTCAGATAATTTGATACCTTATACTAGAATAAATAAGATCATGCATGTCTGAGAGCTTAAAGTTGTGGAATATTGCTTCAGCTGTTAAGTGACATTATTATAAAAGGTTTATCTAATAAACATGGATCCCAAAGTTGTTATTTTAGTTACTGAGAACAGTTCCTAAAGTCTTCAGAAGGCACAGAACTTTTAAGCTTTTCCTGAAATAAATTATGAAGTCTTCTAAGAGTTGCATGATAAAGTTCTGTGATTTATATTTTACTACTTTTCTGCCCTTAGATCCTCAAGCTGTCTCATGGACAGCAATTGTTTAAGGCAGGAAAAATGTATGACCTAAACCTCAACTTGATCTCTAATACTAGAAAGCTACTAAAGTTTAAAAAGAAAAAAAAAAAGGAAGTCCATTAAGCTTATTCTTCTTCTTATTTTTATTTTATTTTTGAGTGACAGAGTCAACCAAAATGTCATTTTCCTAATGTTTTTGTGTTTCTATTCTTTTACCAAACATTTATGTTGTATATATTTTCCTCTGCAAGTTTGAATAATGAAAGGAAAGGAGGAGGAAGGTGGGACAGACTACTGCATAGGAGGATAAAGACATAAAGTTTACTAGACTGGCTGTGGTAACATTTGGAAATGGGAAAATATAGAAAGCTATCCCATCAATGCTCAGTATTTTTATTAGTGTACAAGAAGGTTGATAGTTTGCTTACATTTTTGTTTTCACTTTTTAAAAGAGGCATCTGTTAAAATACACTGGGAAGAAGAAAAAGAAGGAAAAAATATCACTGACTTAAATGAAAGATACATACACTTAAAAATCTATCTCTCCATTTCCCTGCCCCATATGATTTTTAAGTAATAGGAATTTGGGTAGTACTAGGAATGAAAGAATATAAATTTCATGGGGGAGAAATTGCTAGAATGGTGGAAAACTCAGAAAACCTTAATCTGCTTACAGGTATGCCTTAGATACATTGTACACACCACCACAATAAGCCAAATATTACAGTAACGTGAGTCAAATGAGTTTTTTGGTTTCCTGGTGTGTATAAAAGTTATGTTTATGCTATACTGTATTCTATGAAGTGTGCGATAGTATTACGTCTAAAAAAACAATGTACTTGGGATGCCTGGGTGGCTCCGTCGGTTGAGCGTCTGCCTTTGGCTCAGGTCATGATCCCAGGGTCCTGGGATTGAGTCCCGCATCGGGCTCCTTGCTCGGCGGGGAGCCTTCTTCTCCCTCTGCCTCTGCCTCTCTCTCTCTCTGTCTCTCGTGAATAAATAAATTCTTTAAAAAATAAAAAAACAATGTACATACCTTTGTATGCATTTGTAAAATACTTTATTGCTGAAAAGTGCTAATCATCCTCTGAGCTTTCAGCAAGTTGTAATTTTTCTGCTGGTGGAGGTCTTGCCTCAGTGTTGGTGGCTGCTGGCTGAACAGTGTCCTGCTTGCTGAAGGTTGGGGTGGCTATGGCAAGTACTTAAAGTACAACAACAGTGAGGTTTGCCACATTGATTGACTCTTCATTTCATGAACAGTTTAGTTTCTCTGTAGCATGCAATGCTGTTTGATAGCATTTTACATAAAGGAGAACTTTTTTCATAATTGCAAAACCAGGTTTTATGTAATACTCTAAATCCTTTGTTGTCATTTCAACAATCTTTGCAGCGTTTTACCAAGAGTAGATTCCGTCTCAGGAAACCAGTTTCTTTTTGGTCATCCGTAAGAGACGACTCATCATCCGTTCAAGTTTGATCATGAAATTGTAACAATTCAGTCCCATTTTCATGCTGCACATCTCATTCTAGTTCTCTTGCTGTTTACACCACATCTACAGTCACCTTCTCCACTGAAGCCTTGAATCCCTCAACATCATCCATGAGGGTTGGAATCACCTTCTTCCACACTCTTGTGAATGTTGATATCTTGCCTTCTTTCCATGAATCACGAATGTTGTTAATGGCATTTAGAGTAGTGAATCCTTTCCAGAAGGTTTTTAATTTACTTCCCCAGATCCATCAGAGGAATCACTATCTGTGGCAGCTATAGCCTTATAAAATATATTTCTTAAATAATAAAACTTGAAAGGAGAATTATTCCTTGATTCATGGGCCATCAAATGGATGTTGTGTTAGCAGGCATGAAAACAACATTAATCTCGTTGTATGTCTCCATCAGAGCTCTTGGGTGACCAGGTGCATTGCTAGTGAGCAGTAATATTTTGAAAGGAATCTTTTTTTTTTTTTTTTTTTCCTGAGCAGCAGGTCTCAACAGTGGGCTTAAAATATTCAGTAAACTATGTTGTAAACAGATGTGTTGTCATCAGGGCTTTGTTGTTCCCTTTATAGAGTACAGGCATGGTAGATTTAGCATCATTCTTCAGGGCCCTAGGATTTTCATAATGGTAAATGAACATTGCCTTCAACCTCAAGTCACCACCTTCATTAGCCCCTAACGAAAGAGTCAGCCTGTTCTTTGGAGCTTTGAAACCAGGCATTGATTTCTCTTCTCTAGCTGCAAAAGTCCCAGATGGCATCTTCCAACATAAGGCTGTTTTGTCTACATTGAATATCTGTTGTTGAGTGTAGCCACCTTTGTTACTTACCTTCTGGAGAACTTGCTGCAGCTTCGACATCAGCACTTGCTGCTTCACCTTGTACTTTTCTGTTATGGAGATGGCTTCTTTTCTTAAACCTCATGAACCAACCTGTGTAGCTTCTGACTTTCCTTCTGCAGCTTCCTCACCTCAGTCTTCACAGCACTGAAGAGAATTAGGGTCTTACTCTAGATTAGGCTTAAGGGAACATGGTGGCTGGTTTGATATCTGTGAAGTGCAATAAATAGAAGTGCAATCAAACAAGGTATGCCTGTGTATGAAGTCTCTCTGCAGTATGGAGGCATTACTAAAGGAATTAGAGATCCATTAAAGCGTCTGTTGCTACTAGTATATTTTAGATTTTGGATATGAGATAAGTTGAGTGGAACCCACTTAACCCACTGTGCTTGAATGAAGGAAGAAGGACTTTACCACTTGTTACCACCAATGGTGCTTCCACCCTGGTTCAGCTCCCATCTCTTGCCTAGGTAACTGCAGCAGCTGCCTCATGGTCTCACTGTGTCTGCTTGTGCTCTGCTGCATTCTGGACTTCACTTAGCAGAATGATCTGTTTAAAATATAAATCATATTTGCTCCCTGCCCTGTGGTGGCTCAGAGTAAAAGCTAAAGTCTTTACAAAGGCCTGTAAGCCTCTCCATGATCTGTCCTCCCCTCCTGCCTCTTCTGTTCCTGTCATGTGCCACTGGTCTATCTCACTCACGGTGCTCCATCCCAGCTGGACTCCTTGCTGTTCCACAACTGCAGGACCTCAGATGTCCTTATGGACCCTCCGTGAGGCCCACCCTCACTATTCTAGTTCAGATCACAGATCACACTCCTCTCTCTCCGCTTTTACCTTTGTTTTTGTGACACTCCTGTCTCTCTTAGCTTCACATTTTCTTTTTCCCATATCATGTGTCATCTTCTTTTTTTTTTAAAGATTTTATTTATTTATTTGACAGAGAGAGACACAGCGAGAGAGGGAACACAAGCAGGGGGAGTGGGAGAGGGAGAAGCAGACTCCCCGCTGAGCAGGGAGCCCGATGCAGGGCTCGATTCCAGGACGCTGGGATCATGACCTGAGCCGAAGGCAGGCGCTTAATGACTGAGCCACCCAGGCGCCCCCATGTGTCATCTTCTAAGATATCGTATAATTGACTTATTCATTATGTTGATCTCCTTTCTCTCTCCTGCCTCTGAGAAGGTCAGCTTCAGAGAGCAGGGGTTCTTTGTTTATTTTGTTTATTAATGTGTCCTAAATCTGTCGGGACTCTGTCCTTAAACCCGGTTTTGGTTTCTGATCCTAGGAAGTCTGGTGAGATCTTTGTGATCTGTGAGCATGTTTTGTTTTGTTTTATTTTGTGAGTTAAGGCCTTTCCAAGTTGGGTAGCCTCTTAAATCTCTTTTTTTTCTCTGGGCTTTCACCTTAATTTCCACCCCCTAAGATTTTGCCATTATGATGGTAAGATTTCCCCGAGTCACCGAAGAGTTGGCCTAAATTACAAACCATATGCTTCTTTTTCTCCAAACCCCAGTCTCTCACATGTGTACTCCCTCCTAGGGGAGTAGTATGTGGGAGGAGTAGTCTTAAGGCTCCTACTAACACAGCTGCATGGGAAGAGAGAGAAATGAGCCTTGGGCCTCGAGTGAAACCTCCCCTAGATGCTTTATAGTGACCTAATTGATTTTCTCAATACACGTGACACATTTATTAACGGTCATGTAAAGACGGGGTATTGTTGCTAATCAGTGGTTTTTACATCAGAGCCTCACAAACCTCAGGTATCCTGGAGATACCTCAGGGACAGGGCATGCTGGGTGTGCAGGATTCTGCTTTTCTCTGGGTATCGTGTTTCTGTTTAAGAATTTTGTTAGGAAACAAAAAGTGATTCCTCTGAAAAGGTTTGGAAACTGCTGGTATAGAGATCAGAATGTGTCTCTAGCAATAATATGTAATTCAAGGGTATTTAGTTGAATATAACACACACACACACTGGTGTGCGTGCATGTCTGCATACACATACAAACATACACAATCATACTGTGCCCATTGTGTGGCACAGTGACACTGTGTCATTGTGTCTCCAGTGCCTAGAGCAGTGCCCTATTTACTTTGATATTCAGTAAATATTTGTTGAATGAATGAATGTATCATACCTGATGAGCATTGGCTACTCAGTAATTCAGCTCACCC